TTTACACAAGAAAGCTCTCTTTAGATGTCTCCATTATCAAGAGTACTTGATTTTACATGGATTGACTCTAAACTTAAAGTGTGTCAAAGTCTTGACATACAGATTTTCACAAAGGAAGGGTCAGAGATCAAAGTTCTGTCCTTGGTTCTGTCTCTAAATAATGATGAAAATGTAGTCAGGTAACTTAGCCCCTTAATATTTCAGTTCTAATTTCCTTCTAGAGGAAAGGAAGATGTAAGACCAAATAATCTATAAAGAACCTTTCCACTGTAATGTACTATTTTTCATTTCCCCATCACAGGGAACACACTCATCTTCCATGATCCATGCTACTCCTGGAGGAGGACTGATTAAAAACGGCCACACTTAGGCTAACAGATTGCTTATTCTTCTGCTTGCCCTTAAAACGGTCAACTGACCTGACGGACCAGTTGCTACTCACAGCTACAGGCCCATTGTTAAAACTAAAGCTCTTGATTTTACTGTTTCTACTTTATTCCAGTCATTGAAAGTAATAATTAAGCTTGGTCTCTGGGTCCTTCTCCAAGGAGAAGTTCACAGGACTGTAACCTTACAAAATAGCCTGAATTACCAAGGAGACCACACCTTGAGTGCTTATGAGATAAAGAGATCTAACCGCTGGCCTCTACAGAATCGGTCGCCTGGAGGCATCATGTCACCATTCTAAGTTTTCTGATGAGAAGACGATTCTGTTGCTTATTATCGATGCTTCACTGTGAGCTATGGCTAGATAACCACCCACCCCATCCCCAAGGATTGGCTCACAGCTTTGAAGGCACTAGCCTGCTGTGAGTCTCCTTTAACCAGCAAAGCAGTAAAATTGCCTCTTTTCTTCTCACTCCAAGACCTTGTCTCTGGGTTATTTGGCTCATCAGGGATGGGGACCAATCTTTTAGCAACACTCCTACTGTCTATATATTTTCTATCCATTTCCCTCTTCACACTGTTTCTAGCCTAATGCTGAAAAATTCTAGTTTCTTGTAAACTAGACTGAGGTTGACTTTTCTCCCAGTTGCAGTAGTCATTTCCCCCTGTGAACAAAAAATACTGTAAACTGCATCAGTAAGCAAATGATGAAACCATCAAGTCATCAGCGGCTGCCGCCACCCCGCAGTGAAGACAAGCCTGCACCCCGGCCTCTGCAGCCACTCACAATGGAGCACTCTAAGGGGACTCAGAATAAGAAAGGACAGGATACTGGCCCTAGATAGCTGGGTGCCTATCAAAGGAATGAATACAATGAGCCCAAATGTTTGCTTCCTCCCATACACAGAAAAGTGCTAAATTCTTTAACTTGAGATTTTCTTTAGTTAACAAGTAATCTTTTAATGTTCCAACTACCTGGTCTTTGTTGTAAAGCTCCTATATATCCTAGCTCCTCCCCTACCTCTTCGGAGCAGTCCCTCAGAGCCATCTGAGAGGCTGTCATCCCGGGCTGAGTCCTTAGAATTGTCCACCGAATGAAACATAACTCTCAACTTTTAGGTTGTGCATTTATTTCAGTTGATACCCCTTCCCAACTCCAAATATCAGCAGGGATAATTTTCTCTTTCTTTTAACATTATCTGCATCTATGGTTGCCAGATAAAATTCAGACACTAAATCTCAGATAAGCAACGAATCATTTTTTTAGTATAAGTATGTCCCATACGCTTTGCTTTCTTTCTGAATCTGACACCTCTACCAGTATTGTTTCTCAGTTCAGTCTTGCATAAGGATCTTTAGAAATCAGTTTTTCTGTTGAAAATACTTTAGTAATTTTCCAGAAGGAAAGGTCCTACTTGTGTCAGATGAGAGGTTTCTGCAAACAAGTTGGCCCCTCTGGGTGTGAATGAGCACTGTCTTCATCCAGAGCAGTTGGGGGCGGGGCCTGGGTAAGAGGGCACACAGGGGCCAGGAGTCTTTGCCTACCTAAGCCAAGAAGCCAAGAACAAAGATGTGTGAACTCTGGCCAATGCAAACACAGTGGCTATCCCAGGTGGATCCTCTTGCCTCCTATGGGAAGTGATAGCAGCACAGGCTCTTCCTGAGCCATGAGATGCTCATGGGACCTTCCTGCTCGTCACATGAATAAAACATCCCATTTCCGTGTGATCATCTATCTTTGAGCTTCAAAAGCAACATCACCTTGGGGAAACAGAGATAGCTCAACTTGACAGTCCATCAGCTCAACAATCAGAACAAGATGAAATCTAGAGTTGATCAATGAGAAATGTGGATTAGCCATTTCAAGAGCGCTGACTGATTCCATGAAGAAGAGCACATACTATGTTAGGTGTCACTGTCAACTTCTTGCAAAGTTATTAACCTACGAGTATTAATGGACAGCTGTTACAGGGTTAGGATTGCAGCAGCTGCCACACACACAGAGGAGAGATCCCGGTTCCTGAACTAATTGATGAATAAGCTAACGGCAGTGAAAGTGGAAAACTAACAAGACGGCTGCTGAACTGTTCAGGCCTGGGCTTCTAGCTAAACTGATCTTACGGCCAACGTGCTCCCTTCCTTGTGCACTCTTTTCTTAGAGTAACTTACCCTTTCACCCTAGAGGTCTTGAAACAAGGTCATGGACTGAACCTCAAGAAAATTGGCAGGCCCTCTTTAATTCCTCCATAACAGCAGCAAGTTCTTATCAGGATGAAAGGAATGTAGATCCTGCCCACACCCTGACTGTTATCACCCTTATGTTCCCATTTTTCTACAAAACCCCAGCACTCTTACCCCAAGACGGGCTCACGGTCTCTGAGGCATCAGCCTGCTGTGGCTTCTCTTCCCTGGCAAGGCAATAAAGCTGTTCTTTTCTAATTCTCCCCAGACTCTGCCTCCAAGTATCAATTTGGCTATTGGGGTGCAGAGGCCAGTTTTTCGGCAACAGTAACCCTGCACAGGAGTACAGCTTCTTCCACTTTTTTTTTTTGGAGGGAAAAACCACAAGATACAATGCCTTTCCAGCCTTTCCACTCAACTATTAGATTTAGGTCTCAAAAGTTAAATTCTGTAAGGACTTAACTGGGGTCTATAGCATCGTTTGGCTGACAGATAACTAGCAGACTGGTGCAAGGTTGGAAGGCAGATACAAACTATTTTTTCCTGCAACTTTATAGGAAACCACCCATGAATATTAAATACATGAGAAGAGTCTCTTTCAGAGGTACTTGTGCGGTCACGAGGAGCCTGCCCTTTCTAAGCCAAGGATGTAACCACTGCAAAGCCCGAGGAGCTGCTGCCTGCAGGCCTGAGGCTTCTGAGCTGTTTGTTCCTCTCTCCTTCTTCTGGTTGAAACAGTTAATTTTTTTTGGCATTTTTCCTTGAAATGAGAAAAACTCATTTTAAATTGCCTTTAACTAACTGATGGTCCTCTGATGAGAGCAATTTACCTCCTGAATATGAAAGAGAATTCCCTCCACCCTACCGTGGTGATGTGTCTCCCCGGGGAATAATGCACCCAGGCAGGCCCACAGGCTCCCTTTAATCAGAGGCTGTTTTACATGATCATAGTCATCATTAGGCAGTGTCACGCCCACCGTTTATCCCAGCGACAAGGAAAACTCGGAAAGGAGGCAAGGCTCCCTACCATTCAGAGGGATCTGAAAAAAGCCAGAAGCCCTGCTTTTTGAGGGTTGTCTCCTCATCAGAAAAGGACCAGCAATCAGCCCAGTGAGAGCCCACCTCTTCATAGCACTGCACAACGACTGTATGAGAGCAGCGGACTTTTAATCACTGCTTGGAGCTGTGCTCTAATTACAAACTCAGATAAAATATGCATTAACATTTGCATTTTGGGTAGTCATTTGTCACACAAAGAAAAGAAATTGTTTACTCTTCGCAGAAATCAGAACTTCACCCCTTCAGAGATAAAACATCAGGGAAACACTCTCCATTTTAAAACAAAGACCATTGCCTGCCATCCAGTTCCACAAGGATCAAGTCATTAGCCACTGCAGTCACTGACTGACTCTGCACCTTGAGAGGAATTCAGAAGGAAAAACGGAACGAGGCACTCTGCTTTGGGAAAACAGGCCCCTTAGGTAAAGATATCTCAGGGAAAAAAATTTTAATGAACCCAGATTCTTGCACCCTCTCATTCCTAGAAAAGCACTAAAATCATTAACTGAGATATCTGATCCTTGTGACTAGCAGCAACCTCTTACTGAGATGTATACTTGACTACATCTATTCCCCGCCAAAATCACACCTATACCGGCTTCTTCCTCTGCCTCTTTGAAGCAGCCGTCTCAGAGCTACCGAGAGGCTGTTTCCTGGGCTACAGTTTTCAGCAAAGGTCCCGGAATATAACTGAAATGCACACACAGCTCTTAGTTTGTGCACTTTTCTTTCGGGAACTTTGATGGGATTTTTAAACAAACAGTGTGTTGGTATCAGCTTCTAAACTCTGCAATGAGTAGAATTCAGACTGGACTTGAGTGAGCCAATGCAAATGAACGCACAGAACACTAAATAAAACCCAAGGGTTCCAGGTGGCCCTCTGGCAATTCCAAACAGGAGACTCGGGAATATATCATCTCACGGTTCAAGGTTTCCGTTACATTTTTTTTAACAGGCCAGTTTAAGCTCTCTGAAGCAAATTCTCCCCTCCAAGCAACATTTACTTTTCCAACCATAAAACGTTTACCATGTGTTCAAGCTGATACAGCTGCTTATGGCAACAACTGTGGCTAACATGCTGCACACTTTAAAGCAATTGTTAGCAATTGGAGCAAATTCCCCAACCTAACCAACTTTATGTGGGAAGACAAATTAAAAACAAAAAACAAACCTCAACTCTGGGCAATCCAATCAGCAGTGATTGTACATAAAACTATCACTTAATTTCAGCAAACACCCGTGATATTTCTAACAGCTGCTAGACCTACAGAACTAGAAATAGAGCTAATGCACCCAAAGGCAGACAAAGATCAGAAGAAACCACAGAAATAAACACTCACAGCTCAATGACCATTCTCATTTAATTACAAAACCCCAGAGTCCACAGCTGCTAAAAAATTGAAGGGTCTTTAAACATGGAAGTTCCTTCCCTAAAGGCAAATTCCAGCATTAAAGACAGAAGCAATATTCATACCCTTAGGGAATCTTCCCTAAAGGTTATGAGTAAACTTGTCTCAGATGACTGAACCCATTTCTTGTCTACAAAATCAGAAATTACTCTTGTAAACCAGACAAGTGTTTCCATAAATCAGTGTGATCAAAAGAACAGTAGGGTCTTAAAGAGTGACAAGAGCCAAGGGGATTTTTGTTTCCTCTAGACAATGCTACTGCAACTAAAACTAAATCCCTACTACCCAAAGGGACATTACAACCCAAATGGTTAATCTACACTTGATACAATCAGATTTCAAATATTCTGGGGGGAAGGGTGCAGCTCGAGTGGTAGAGCGCGTGCTCAGCACCCAGGAGGTCCCGGGTTCAATCCCCGGTACCTCCTCCAAGGGGAAATCAATGAAGAAATCTAATTACCTCCCCTTCAGAAAACAATACAATCAAATATTCTGAAATAGTCCACACACTTATTAGTCTTTTATTAATAGCTGTAAATCTATAGAGTTTCTAGGATCACTTGCAATTTGCTGATAAGTTATAAATACTTTAAATTTAGGGGAGGGGGGGAGGTGTACAATAAAGAGAGTACATATTTTTTAGGGCAGCAGTTTCCACCACAGCTGCATATTTTTAAATGCTGATGCCATGGGCTCCAGCCTCAGGCCATTCAGTCAGACTCTCTAGGGCGGGGGTGGTCAGGCATATGCATTTCATCAGACGCATTCAAAACCTCTGCCAAATCATCCTAATATGCATCTGGGGTTAAGATCCATCATCTTGGAGAGCAGACATTATACCCTAATTTCCAAGGCAAAACTGAAGGTTACCTTTCCACTGCTGCCATAAAAATCATAAAGTCCTAAGTCAGGAATAAAACAGATATGACAAAGGCTTGGAAAGATGGCTTAATGGTTTGGTACTGTCCTTAACCATGGAAAGCTGAGAAAAACGAAAAATAAGACAAACAACTTCCAAGACTGATGAGAACTTGAGTGAGCCCTCATCTTAGTCATGGGCATTCATTTTCTTATTATGATGAGGTTCCAACCAGAACGCAAGCCAGGGCGTTTCAGAAATAGAAATATCTGACACAAATTACATACATTATTTCAGCGTGTGCCTCAACTATGTAATCTTCCTGAGCTTGCCTGCACATTTTTTCTTAATGCAGTGAGTACTCAATAATAACTAATGTTTACTGAGCTCTTATTTACTATGTACTGAAGCCAAAGAGAACGCTTCCTGAATGTTCTTATTTAATCCTTACAGCCACCCTGAAAGGTGGGCATGATAATTATCCTCATTGGATAGATAAGGAAAGGGACTCAGACTGAGTTATATGATTGAGCCACACAGCAAGGGGGTAGGAGGTAGCCTAGGACCCTGGGCTCAAAACTAGTATATGATCTAGCTGAATACAAGGACTGACCAACAATTTACACGGCTGGTTTCAAAAGCTAGGACTCCACCTGATGAGGCGACTGCCCTGAAGAATGACTGAACACTTACTATTTTCCCAATTTTGGAAGAAAGGAAGATACGGCACTCAACCACAGTTCTTCCTCAGTATCACCACCCTCAACAATTCTACAGTCATCATAAATATGAAGCTGAAAGACAGGACCAAGAGACAGAACGAAAGAGGGACAAGATTCTTCTGAGTCTGGGCCTGAGTCACTGCCCTACATTATAGCTACTTTCAGGTTAACTGTACATCAATAGCCTAGGAGCCAAGAGTATCTACAGCAAGGAAAGCCTATAAAATAATAGCCTTGGGGGGGGAAGGCTCAGAAAACATCATTGAAAGTCATCTGTGCATCTGATTTGAAACCATATTCACCAAAATAACTTAAAATATCTGGATATTTATCATGTTAACTAAAATTAACATCCTGATCTTTCATAACATGGGTCTGAAATTTTAGGAGGGAGGCCAAACAAATGCATATGGAGGACACTACTATTTAATAGATTCAGCTTAGCCCTAAGACCCACTCTTAAAAAAATGCAGAGACTAGATTTGCTCCCCTGTTCCTAATAATTCGAATTTTAGTGCATTAAAAATAAATCAAAATCAAAAAACAGAAGGTGGTGACACGAAGAAAGTCACAGTAAAAAAAAAAATGTTTATGACTCTGTCCGGGAAGAACCACCAATCATAAGCCCTTGCAATTCGTGGGACTCAAACGGGAGGGATCACCCCAACACAAAGGTAAGGAGGCAGACATAATCTGTTACTATTTTCTTTTTAAGTTCCCTGGACAACTCAGCTCAGCTCTAAAATAACTATTTCACAAACTGTGATCTCTCCTCTCCCATGTTCCCAGCACTCTGTGATTTGCCAATGGAATAAAATACTTTCATTAAATTTTTAAAAAATATTTTAATAAAAAAATTATTTTTAATAATTAAAAATAATAAAAAAAACGGTAACACCTCCCTGTGGACTCCAGGTGCATCTGTGTATACTTTAAAATGGATGTGATCTGGTTTCCTTCCTTTCCTCACAAACTGTTAATATATTAAAAAACCAAACCGATTCCAGAGATTTTTAGTGAGTTACTGTACTGAATTATGGGGTGCTACATTGTCTTTTATCAGTTTCACATCTTATAAATTACCTGATACAATCTAAAAAAGTGGAAAAGATCTCAGACCTTTGGGAACTGAAACATTTGTATTTTTGTTTCTTTGTAACGCACATCCTAGATATATTACCCTGTGAACACACAGACAGACAGATATCTAGCTCTTGAGGGAAGACCTATCAAGTGGCTCTCCAGGCTTCAGATTCACCTGTATCCATTAGTTTTTCTAATTTATAGAGGGTAGCTGAAACAGCAAATAGAAAGCACATTTATTACTGTTTTACAAGACCCGTATGAGTTAAAAGATAGCCTACATACAGGCAATTCTACACTGATTTACATCACAAAAGGGAAGCTTCTCTATGTGCCCTTAAACTAACTTCTCTACATCCTCAGTGACTGATTTTTATAGCCCCTGTTCACAGCCTAAATAATTTAAAGTTCCTACAAAGCAATCAGATGCTTTACCTAAATATTGCTTCCCTCTTCTTTCTAGTTTCCTTTTCTTGCAAATGGTTTTAACTAGCTCAATGAGTTTCTGTATGGTTGTTATTTAAATCTTAAAGGAGTGGATATGATTGAAAAAACAAATTTGGAGGCAGGAGTCTTGCCACCAAATAGCTCTGCTATTTCAGTCAAGTTACAGCCTCTCTCGAGTGGAATTATCTCACTAAGAAAATGAAGACACTGCAGTAGAGGATTTGTAAGTTTCCTCCTACCTATGACCAAATAACACAAATGTTTCCCTTCCTTTTCCTACTCTCAGGATGGAGTTCAGAGGCAGCCAACTTTCTGGTTGGATGGGATGGTCTGCCCAGTCAGTGCTTTGCCCAACTTTGGAGTCTTTGAACACTAAGGAGCACCAGTCTTGGCTCCTTCCCAGTTCACCATGAAACAAAACAAAAGTTCATTCGCTTTTTAATACTGCCATTTCCACAGCCTTAAAATACCACTATAGAAGCTGAAGTAAACTATTTAATCTCCTTGAGTTTCAGGTTTTTAACTGCCCAGGGCCAGCAAAAATCCTAAAATACCTGGGTCAAGTTCACAGTCATCCCCAAAACCTCCAGATCAACACAGTGCTAGAATACTGAATGTCAATAAAATCTTAAAAGCTGCAAAATAACAACCATGATTATCAGGGGAAAAACACTACTCTTGAAGCACCCCCTGTCTTACAATGAAAATTATCAGGGAGGGTCTGCAAACAAGAGGATGAAAGAAAAAGAAAATCTTTTCTCTGCTGGGCCATTGCGAGTTGTACACGCTTCTCTCTTTCCTAAGTCCTATGCCCAGGGATTCCTGCTCTTTCTAGTGAGGAAACAAAGAAAGATATTCCTCTCTTCTGGCCACCTCCCTTCCTCATGTTTCAATCTCTATCAAATCCAAATTCCTTTTTGCCTCCAGGATTGGTCTTCTAAAACACTTTCCTGGTGTTATGTCACTTTCACTGTCCTTACTCAATTTACCTTTGTGCAAATGAGGAGTCTTCAAAAGGATTTCAATTTGGTATATTACTGCATGAAGGAGAAAAAACTTTTTCCTTTACCCTTGTAGGTTCCTCTGGCTGGTGTAAAAGTTAAATGGACATGAGACAGATTAACAGGAGAAAATCAAACAAATATTTAATAACATGCATCCATGGGAGAGACTCAGGAAAAGTGAATAACTCACCAAAAAGATTGAAGCCCTCACCTTAAATACCATCCTCAGCTAAAGACAAAAGAGGATGTGGAGGTGGGCAGAGTCAGTTAGGAAAGGTTACAAAGAAAAGCGCAGTAAATAAATCTGACATGCACATTCAAGTCATTGCCTTCTCCACCAATGAGTTTTTAGAGATTTGGTCATCCTCCTCTTTCTGGTACAGTGAGGGAGACACCTTACACATGCAAATATTCCTTTAAAAGGGTAACTCCTACTTGGTGCATAAAGCTTTTCTCAGGTCTATTTCTTAGAAAATAGCCAGCTTAAAACAATCAGTAGGTCAAAGAGACATATTCTGGGGTGACAAATTCTGCTCCCCTGCAACTGCATAATATCATGAAAGCCCTGTCTAGGGGAGCCATCAGGGTTCCTACCTGTGTCTGCATACAGAAGCTCAACACCCTCATCTGCTCACCGCGCCCCCTCCCTCTCAAATGCCAGGCAGGGCACGCCTGCCAGAAGTGTGCACATTCCATTGGCCCATGCCTTCTAGGTGAGATGACTTTGTCAGGTTCCAAGTTGATGAGAGATGAGTATTAGGTCCCTAAGAGTGGAAGGTGGGCAAAACAAGCCAGCTTAGGGGACACGCAGAGGCAGGGGAAGCACCATTAAGCTGATGCCAGGATTGTACATGTACACGGACAGGTGAGCTGATGGGATTTACGCAGGAGGGCCTCTCCTCTGCAGCCCCAGTGCTCATCTGAGCAGCCTGGAATCTCCACACCAGCCCCACATGTTAGTCCGTATCTAGGATGTATTGTTGCACCCAAGTTCACATGCCCAATGCACAGTGAGGCCAAACAAACAAAACGTCTGTAGGAGGGAAAAGTTTTTGGCAAGGGCCAAGCA